TGAATTTCTCAAGCCTCTTTTGGCCTTGTGCTTAGGGGTGCACATCTTACCCTGTCCTGCTGCTATCCTGCGTTCCCTAACCCTGCTTATAACTCAAGGAGAGCAGGTTTCCACCCAGAGCCACGGCACAGCCAGGTATAGACCCAGGAGGGAGGGCATTTGAACTGGGTTGAAAGGGTGGAGTTTTCTAATGATGTCACTCTCCTGACAGAAAGATCGTGGAGTGGGGGGTAGCTTATATCAAGTGAGTGTCTTGGTACTGGCGGGGGCAAGAATGAAAAGAGCTAAGGAGAATGGTTTTAAAATGAACAGAGGCCAAGAGTGGTGAGACCATGGCAGAGCTGTGTTCTTGGGCACTAGCAAAGCATGGTTGTATCAATATGATCTATGATCTCTGGGCAGGGGGTAACCCAAGTTACAGGCATTCTAGGCCCCAATTCCTTCAAACCTCTGTGAAGCCTCAGTTCACTCTGGAGCCTCGGTTTCCTTTTTTGTAAAGGTGAATAGCACTTGACACATACCTATTGAATCTTCACAATAACCTTAATCTGAAGGAATGTTAACTCCTGGTCCTCAGGTGAGATTGAGTGGTTTCCCTGAGGCCATTTTACTGCATCAGGAGAGAAGATACAGAAAGCATGTGGCGCAGAGCTTGGCAAATGTGCGTTCAGGTTCAGTAGAAGTGTTCAAGTGTTTCTGAGGCAGTTGGTATCTCAACTGGGTTCTACTGGAGCTTGCCTTACAAGCAAGGAGGCTGGCCAGGGTGGACCAGGGACTTTGCCCAAGCTAGTGTAGGGACAAGAGCTAGACTTGTCCATGGAAGGGGCAATGCACATTCCAAGGGGACATCCACTGCATAGAGTGTCTGCACTGCCTCCATTGTAGTGTCTGCACTGCCTCCATTGTTACCCCAAGCTCTCCAGAGCTGAGGTGGCCCAGAAAGCTGTACTCTCTAACAGTTGGTCCCTTCAGTCTCCTGCCTCTCTTGGGCATGTGGAGATGGTCACAGTTTATTAAACATTTGTTAGGCTCCACGCTCACAGTGTCTCTCTGGTTTAACCTCCTAACCTCACTGCTAGGGCAATAACAACTAAGGAAGTTGGCCCTGGAGAAGGGGGTGGCCTGCCCAGAGCACAGGGTCACTCGACCATCGGGGGGTGGAGGGGTAAGGAGAGAGGGTTGTCAGATATGAGATCTTGGTGTCTGTTTTCACTTTCCCTCCTAATAAAATGGTATTAACTGTTCTCATACAAACACACAGAATTGTGTATGCGCAATCTTGAACAAGGCTCCTGCCTCAGTTGTGGAAAGGAGACTTCTCTTCCTGAGAAGGTTCCTCAAGTCTCTCACCTCACCCCCAGCTTCCACAGCGCGGCACCTGTACCTCCGGGGCGGCGCTGGGGTTGGCTCCATGACCAAGATCTATGGGGGACGTCAGAGAAATGGCGTCATGCCCAGCCACTTCAGCCGAGGCTCCAAGAGTGTGGCACGCCGGGTCCTCCAAGCCCTGGAGGGGCTGAAAATGGTGGAAAAGGACCAAGATGGGTAAGCAGGAAAGGGGAGGCTGGATTGATGAAGGATCCTTGGTGCCAGACCAGCAGCACCCACAGGTCACGTATAATGAAGTGCTATCACCACTCTCCCCTACAAAGAGAGGTGCAGGTGCTGGGCCTATCCTGCATGGTCTGCCTCAACCCCTGCCCCTCAGGCCTCTCCTCTCAGAGGCAGACAGGGAATTCTGCAGAAAAATGAACAGCAAGGGGCCTCACCCCGACCTCTCTAGCTGACTACTCCAGGCTCCAGGAAAATAATTTAGTGACTGTCCACTTTCATTAGCCTGCTCGTTAACTTTTCCCAATTGATTTTTTGGGCCTTTAGATCTAATGCTGGCACAAAAGACACCCCATCAGCTCCCACGGGGACTCCTACTCCTGCCCCCAGCTCGTTAAAATACAGCCAACTGGGGAATTGGCTGGTGTCATGTGGTCCCACAGCCATGTGCCTTCTTGGGAAGTTTAGCTCATGACCGGAAGGGAGGGGGCTGAGAACCTTTGCTCACCAGGGACTGTATGACCCTTCCCTTCTACAGGGGCCGCAAACTGACACCTCAGGGACAGCGAGATCTAGACAGAATCGCCGGACAGGTAGGCCTGCGTGCTGGCCAGGGCTGGATCTTTTAGTGCCTGGACATTTCCAGAGTCCATTCTCTGTCAGATATGACTCATGTCCTCCCCTGGGGGGCACAGCCCAACGTGGTAGGGGTCAGAGGAGGGCTGCCAGAAAAATTTCTGACTGACTTTCCTCCTGGAGCTATGTAGAAATTTGGGTGCTGACTGGGGTGAAGGGAGCCCAAGCCCAGGGTGGCCCTGGGCTTCTACAGGGCACATAACTGCACCAACACATGATTCCCTTTTCCCAGGTCACCCTACTTAACAGATTCTGGCTGCAGTATTTCCGCCTTATTTTTTATGCTTGCTGGGCATCAGATGGCATCCTGGGAGAAGTGGAGATGGGTGGGGCTGGTTTAGGCCCCAGAACTCTGGCTGACTGACACTTGGGCAGAGTCACCTCAACTCTGGAGCCGCAGGCTCCCTCTCTGTAGAGCGATCTGTTCTTGCCCACCTCAAGGGTAGTGGGTGGTGGTGAGGATTCAAGGAGCTACAGCACAGCAGGAGCCCTCAGGGCCTGGCATGGGCTGCTTGCTAATTTTCTGTATCGACTCAGGCCTCCTAGGAGCCTTGGAGTATTAAGTCACTTAGTCAAATGTCACAAAAGAAGGTGTCAGCCCTCTGGGAGTCGAGGGTGGCCTAGAAAGCGAGGGTGGGCTCTTTCAGAGCAGAGCAGGGCCTAACAAATGTCAGTGCTGATGGTTGGCCTTCCCTTCACACAAAGCAGTGGGCAGAAGTTGGACTCCCACTCCACCACTCCCTTATCTTGAGTCTTTAACATGTCTGTAAAATGGGGAAATAATCCACAGATGAGGATTAGATGAGATGAATGTATTGGAAACCACAAATCGGGATGCCTGGTGTCTGGTAGGTAGTAGGTAACCATTACACAAAGTGCCCCCACAGAGACCCCACAACTGATCTTCCTCCTCCATCTTTTCTTTTGACAGGTGGCAGCTGCCAACAAGAAGCATTAGAACAAATGATGCTGGGTTAATAAATTGCCTCATTCGTAATCCCGGTCTGGGTCTCTTGCTCTCCTGCTCTTCTTGGGGCATGACGAAAGGAGCACTTCCCTTCCCTCGTGTAAGAGGGGCTTAGGGTCCCTGGATGGCTGTGGTACCCAGCAGCTGGCAAAGCCTTCCCAGTTCAAACAGCTCCTCTCTGAGTGGACAAGACATCCCAGCTGGGGGATGGGGGCAGGCAGGACCCAGGGACCCTTGTGCCTCCCCAACATCCTGCCTGCAATTCTCAGAAAGTGAGAAACAAAGGGAGTGGCTCTTTAAGCAGTGGCCCCAGGTAGGGCCTGGTCTGCTGAGTTGGCCTCTGCTAGAATAAGGCAGGAGGGCCAGGGGTTCATGCTTCCACCCTGGATGGAGGTGGAGAGGGACGGACAGAACTCACTCCAGGTGTCCCCTCATGGGCATCCCTTACTTCCTTCTAGCCAAAGGTGACCTATGCTGCACTTCATGCTGGCTTATTTCATAGGCTTGCATGGGCAGGGTGGCCCTGCCTGAGCCTTCACTTGAGGACTGACCTTGTGCCCAGGCGGGTGGACCCAGAGCCAGGGAGGAAGGGAATGCTAGCTGCCCAGGTTGGAGTGGAGCTGCACTTAGGCTCCGAGGGTAGGGCCTGACAGCATGTGCTCCACAGTCCTGCACGGCTTTCCATGAGTGGGGTGGGGCCTTTGCCCATGGTTCAGCCCTTGACCAGGGCAGGAATTACAAACAGCACTCAGTGGGCACCCAGAGGGACTACCTAGGGAAAGGCCTCAAATTGCCCTACTCCCAGTTGGGGAAGGCCTAAGATGCTGAGCCCAGACTGGCTTGGCCAAGGTCCCCCAAGGTTTCCCCCAACTCAAGTTATTCCTCAGGTCTGACCCATTTCCTTGCAGTGCAAAGCCTGGGCTTTGAAAACCAAATGACTTGGGTTCAGATACTATGTAGAGCTTTGCTGGGAGACAACCAGTTGGCATTACCCATATTTAAGACGAGATGTTTAAAATTTAAAGTATGGGCTGGCCCATGGCTCACTTGGGAGAGTGTGGTGCAGACACCATCAAGTCAAGGGTTAAGATCCCCTTACCGATCATCTTTNCATGTGGCGCAGAGCTTGGCAAATGTGCGTTCAGGTTCAGTAGAAGTGTTCAAGTGTTTCTAAGGCAGTTGGTATCTCAACTGGGTTCTACTGGAGCTTGCCTTACAAGCAAGGAGGCTGGCCAGGGTGGACCAGGGACTTTACCCAAGCTAGTGTAGGGACAAGAGCTAGACTTGTCCATGGAAGGGGCAATGCACATTCCAAGGAGGCAGTTGGTATCTCAACTGGGTTCTACTGGAGCTTGCCTTACAAGCAAGGAGGCTGGCCAGGGTGGACCAGGGACTTTGCCCAAGCTAGTGTAGGGACAAGAGCTAGACTTGTCCATGGAAGGGGCAATGCACATTCCAAGGGGACATCCACTGCATAGAGTGTCTGCACTGCCTCCATTGTAGTGTCTGCACTGCCTCCATTGTTACCCCAAGCTCTCCAGAGCTGAGGTGGCCCAGAAAGCTGTACTCTCTAACAGTTGGTCCCTTCAGTCTCCTGCCTCTCTTGGGCATGTGGAGATGGTCACAGTTTATTAAACATTTGTTAGGCTCCACGCTCACAGTGTCTCTCTGGTTTAACCTCCTAACCTCACTGCTAGGGCAATAACAACTAAGGAAGTTGGCCCTGGAGAAGGGGGTGGCCTGCCCAGAGCACAGGGTCACTCGACCATCGGGGGGTGGAGGGGTAAGGAGAGAGGGTTGTCAGATATGAGATCTTGGTGTCTGTTTTCACTTTCCCTCCTAATAAAATGGTATTAACTGTTCTCATACAAACACACAGAATTGTGTATGCGCAATCTTGAACAAGGCTCCTGCCTCAGTTGTGGAAAGGAGACTTCTCTTCCTGAGAAGGTTCCTCAAGTCTCTCACCTCACCCCCAGCTTCCACAGCGCGGCACCTGTACCTCCGGGGCGGCGCTGGGGTTGGCTCCATGACCAAGATCTATGGGGGACGTCAGAGAAATGGCGTCATGCCCAGCCACTTCAGCCGAGGCTCCAAGAGTGTGGCACGCCGGGTCCTCCAAGCCCTGGAGGGGCTGAAAATGGTGGAAAAGGACCAAGATGGGTAAGCAGGAAAGGGGAGGCTGGATTGATGAAGGATCCTTGGTGCCAGACCAGCAGCACCCACAGGTCACGTATAATGAAGTGCTATCACCACTCTCCCCTACAAAGAGAGGTGCAGGTGCTGGGCCTATCCTGCATGGTCTGCCTCAACCCCTGCCCCTCAGGCCTCTCCTCTCAGAGGCAGACAGGGAATTCTGCAGAAAAATGAACAGCAAGGGGCCTCACCCCGACCTCTCTAGCTGACTACTCCAGGCTCCAGGAAAATAATTTAGTGACTGTCCACTTTCATTAGCCTGCTCGTTAACTTTTCCCAATTGATTTTTTGGGCCTTTAGATCTAATGCTGGCACAAAAGACACCCCATCAGCTCCCACGGGGACTCCTACTCCTGCCCCCAGCTCGTTAAAATACAGCCAACTGGGGAATTGGCTGGTGTCATGTGGTCCCACAGCCATGTGCCTTCTTGGGAAGTTTAGCTCATGACCGGAAGGGAGGGGGCTGAGAACCTTTGCTCACCAGGGACTGTATGACCCTTCCCTTCTACAGGGGCCGCAAACTGACACCTCAGGGACAGCGAGATCTAGACAGAATCGCCGGACAGGTAGGCCTGCGTGCTGGCCAGGGCTGGATCTTTTAGTGCCTGGACATTTCCAGAGTCCATTCTCTGTCAGATATGACTCATGTCCTCCCCTGGGGGGCACAGCCCAACGTGGTAGGGGTCAGAGGAGGGCTGCCAGAAAAATTTCTGACTGACTTTCCTCCTGGAGCTATGTAGAAATTTGGGTGCTGACTGGGGTGAAGGGAGCCCAAGCCCAGGGTGGCCCTGGGCTTCTACAGGGCACATAACTGCACCAACACATGATTCCCTTTTCCCAGGTCACCCTACTTAACAGATTCTGGCTGCAGTATTTCCGCCTTATTTTTTATGCTTGCTGGGCATCAGATGGCATCCTGGGAGAAGTGGAGATGGGTGGGGCTGGTTTAGGCCCCAGAACTCTGGCTGACTGACACTTGGGCAGAGTCACCTCAACTCTGGAGCCGCAGGCTCCCTCTCTGTAGAGCGATCTGTTCTTGCCCACCTCAAGGGTAGTGGGTGGTGGTGAGGATTCAAGGAGCTACAGCACAGCAGGAGCCCTCAGGGCCTGGCATGGGCTGCTTGCTAATTTTCTGTATCGACTCAGGCCTCCTAGGAGCCTTGGAGTATTAAGTCACTTAGTCAAATGTCACAAAAGAAGGTGTCAGCCCTCTGGGAGTCGAGGGTGGCCTAGAAAGCGAGGGTGGGCTCTTTCAGAGCAGAGCAGGGCCTAACAAATGTCAGTGCTGATGGTTGGCCTTCCCTTCACACAAAGCAGTGGGCAGAAGTTGGACTCCCACTCCACCACTCCCTTATCTTGAGTCTTTAACATGTCTGTAAAATGGGGAAATAATCCACAGATGAGGATTAGATGAGATGAATGTATTGGAAACCACAAATCGGGATGCCTGGTGTCTGGTAGGTAGTAGGTAACCATTACACAAAGTGCCCCCACAGAGACCCCACAACTGATCTTCCTCCTCCATCTTTTCTTTTGACAGGTGGCAGCTGCCAACAAGAAGCATTAGAACAAATGATGCTGGGTTAATAAATTGCCTCATTCGTAATCCCGGTCTGGGTCTCTTGCTCTCCTGCTCTTCTTGGGGCATGACGAAAGGAGCACTTCCCTTCCCTCGTGTAAGAGGGGCTTAGGGTCCCTGGATGGCTGTGGTACCCAGCAGCTGGCAAAGCCTTCCCAGTTCAAACAGCTCCTCTCTGAGTGGACAAGACATCCCAGCTGGGGGATGGGGGCAGGCAGGACCCAGGGACCCTTGTGCCTCCCCAACATCCTGCCTGCAATTCTCAGAAAGTGAGAAACAAAGGGAGTGGCTCTTTAAGCAGTGGCCCCAGGTAGGGCCTGGTCTGCTGAGTTGGCCTCTGCTAGAATAAGGCAGGAGGGCCAGGGGTTCATGCTTCCACCCTGGATGGAGGTGGAGAGGGACGGACAGAACTCACTCCAGGTGTCCCCTCATGGGCATCCCTTACTTCCTTCTAGCCAAAGGTGACCTATGCTGCACTTCATGCTGGCTTATTTCATAGGCTTGCATGGGCAGGGTGGCCCTGCCTGAGCCTTCACTTGAGGACTGACCTTGTGCCCAGACGGGTGGACCCAGAGCCAGGGAGGAAGGGAATGCTAGCTGCCCAGGTTGGAGTGGAGCTGCACTTAGGCTCCGAGGGTAGGGCCTGACAGCATGTGCTCCACAGTCCTGCACGGCTTTCCATGAGTGGGGTGGGGCCTTTGCCCATGGTTCAGCCCTTGACCAGGGCAGGAATTACAAACAGCACTCAGTGGGCACCCAGAGGGACTACCTAGGGAAAGGCCTCAAATTGCCCTACTCCCAGTTGGGGAAGGCCTAAGATGCTGAGCCCAGACTGGCTTGGCCAAGGTCCCCCAAGGTTTCCCCCAACTCAAGTTATTCCTCAGGTCTGACCCATTTCCTTGCAGTGCAAAGCCTGGGCTTTGAAAACCAAATGACTTGGGTTCAGGTTCTATCTTTGCCCCTAATTCTGTGCAACCCCATGTACCTTACATCCCCACCTCTAACGCTCCTTACTCCTGAGGGATTTCGCAAGATACTATGTAGAGCTTTGCTGGGAGACAACCAGTTGGCATTACCCATATTTAAGACGAGATGTTTAAAATTTAAAGTATGGGCTGGCCCATGGCTCACTTGGGAGAGTGTGGTGCAGACACCATCAAGTCAAGGGTTAAGATCCCCTTACCGATCATCTTTTTAAAAATAAATAAAAATTTAAAGTATCAAGGCTAACAGGTCCTACACCCAGTGGGGAATGAAGCTGCCATCCCTCCTGCCTTGGAGGTTGTCACTGCTGAAAGATTCAACTTAGTAAACCTACTACGTGCCAGGCACCGTACCAGGTGCTTCATAAATGCATTGTTTTATACACTCAGCAATGCTGTGAAGTAGGTGCCAAAACACCTGCATTTTGGAGACAGGGAAGATAAGTCACAGGTTGGGTAATTTACCGGGTGGTGACAGGGCCATCATTTGATCCCAAGCAACCAGGCTCTAGCAGGTACAGCTACCATGCTCTGTCGCTACGAAGTGAGGGAAGTGAGAAAGCAGGCCCAAAGGGTTACACTCCTCAGCATGGCTGTGGGCTAGTCACTCCCTGTTCTGGGCCCCAGTCTCCTCTTTCATCCGTTGAGGGTGAAAACATTTCCCAGAGTTGTTACGAGAACTCAATGCCAAGCATCTGGTTCGAGGATCACCAGGCACATGGGGGTGCCGGGTAAGTGGGAGGTGGAAGTGCCCTGACAGGCCCTTTGCAATCCGGCAACGGCGCCTCTCCAGCCGCTGGGGGGCAGTCGAGGGCCTGGAAACTGGCTCAGCTGCAGAAGGATGCTGAAGGAAGGCTAATTCCTAGAGCTTCCAGGTGTGGACACAGGCTTCCTCCTGGAAAAGGGTCATAAGGAGGAACTGAAGCACAGAGGGGCTAATGACCTGTTATCCAGCGAGGGACCCAACAGAACACGGGTCCCTGGAGGGAAGGTGGGAGGGCCCTAGAGCCAGAGAAGGGGAACCAACTGTGTCCTAGGAAGTGCGCTCAGTAATATTCTCACTGCCTCACGAAGTAGGGGGATTGTACCCATGTTACAGGAGAAGAAACAGGCTCAGACGACCAGTTAGTTGGCACAGCTGAGATACAAATGGAGGAATCTTGGATTCCTGAGACCAAGTGCTCTTCTGTGTGAGTGGCAGTTACTTTTTTTTTTTTTCTTTTTGGCAGCTGGCAGGTTACACTTTTTTAAATTACAAAATACTTCAGGCATGCAAAACAGTATTCATAATAGTGTAACAAAAACCCATGAACACTTCTACTACAGACGTGTTCCTAAGCAGCACAGTGCTGTTTTGCACCTTTTGAAAACAAGTCAACTGTATCATGCTACAATATGTTTTTTCTCATTTTTGTGTTGTTCCTGAGATGCAGTCATATTGACACTTTTCCCCTACTCTATAGCATTCTGTCGGCTAACTGCCACAATTTATGCATCCATTCTTCTGTAAATGGACTTTTTGTTTGTTTCTCAATGTTTTGCTACCAAAAATCTCCCTGCAATGAATTTTTTTTTCATACACGTCTCCTTGTGTGTGGGTGAGGGTCACCTAACTGCTCACAAACATCTCAACAAATCCACCCTCCCCACTCAGACCTCACTTTCCTTCTACCTGGACTAAAATGACATGCTCAAAGGAAGCTGGGAGTCACACAAAGGTGACTTAAAATCCCTGCTCCAACACTCCCAGACCATATGACACTAGGCAAGTGACAGCCTCCCCTGTCTGGGACTTGATTTCGTCCTCTGTAAAATGAGGGATGGCCTGCCTTGCCCAGTTGTGGGGAGGCCAACATAAAAGAACTCCAATAGAGTTGACCATGGTTCTAACACCTTGGGTGCCAAAAACACCATCTCACATCACAATGCAGGCAGATATTCTGATCCTTATCTCATGGATTAAAATGCCAAGGCTTGGAGGAGAGGAGTGACCACCTAGTCACACAGGTAGTCAGCAGCGGGCTGGCCTGCCTTATTTATTTCTGGTGAGCATTGGTAGTGACTAACATTTCCTGAGCACCTATTATGCGTCAGGCCTTGTGCTGTGCATTCACAACCCCTTTAAATCCCTGTTTCCAACCCCAAGAAGCGAGGAAACAGTGAGGAAATGAAGACTCAGAGAGCTGACAAGGTGTTCCCAAGGCCAGGGAGGGGCAGAGGCCAAGCTCAGAACCACCATGACCTGCCTGCAGCAGGCACCCAGAACTCAGGCTCCCTCAGCTTCCTTCCCGAGACTCACCAGTGACAAGCTGGGCCTTAAACTGGCTTCTTCCCCCACCCAAGCAGCCACCTCTCAGGGGAATTGTGGCCACCACAGGTGCAAGAAGCAGTTCCTCTCCACTCATGACCGGAAGCATACCCTGTAGGAACCAGTTAGGGACTGCCCCCAGGCCCAACACTTAAGGTCTCAGTAGGGAGGGCCAGCGGACCCCATCTCCGGCAGGGCTGAGCAGGAAGTGGGGTGGGGTTGGTGTGGAATCTGGTACCCAGGACTGCTGCAACCCACAACAACCAACCCACTGGGAGAAGATGCCTGGCAGCCGACAAGTCTTCCAACCTCCGCCTGCCACCAACTTCCTCCTCCTCTTGCTGTCCGTAGCCTGCCTGGGTATGTGGCCAAAGGGCGGGTACTGGGGAGGCTGGAGAGAGTGCACAGGCAGAGGGAAGGGCACTCAGGGAGGGGGAAGAGGAGTCAGAAGGATGGGGAGCTGCGAAAGGACCGTGTAGAAATTGAATCTGTCGGTTTGACCATCCCACGCCAGGCCTAGGTGGGCTGGAGGGGGCTTCGTGAAGTTGAAGGGGCATCCACAGCCCCTTGAAGGGAGGCAGGGGCGAGAGAGATGCCTCCCCCACCTCCTCATCCCCACAGGTCAAAATAAGGAACTAAGGTCGCTCTTGACAGCACCAGGGCTGGGCGCAGGAAGGGGACTTGGGGGTCATATGTCAGGAGACAAAAAGCATTCTCCTTCTCTGCCTTAAATCTCAGTCACCCCCCATACAGTAAGCCCCTTCTCAGTGCTGGAGGAGGGGGTGCCTCATCAATCCCTCCCTCCTTCCCTGCCTCACCCAAGGCCAGCTGGCAGGGGCTGTGACCACATTGACCAAGGAGTTCAGAGAGGAAGGTTGCTCACCCAAGTTGACACTAAGAGCAAGCATTGGAGCTCATGTCTCTCTGAGTCACAAGCCTGTGATTGTGAGAGGCTTGGTCTCTTTCCTCACCTCTTCCTCCTTCTGTCTTCCTTACCTCCCTCCTCCTCTTACCTCCACAAGACAAGGAGCTGGCCACGTGGACTGCCCTGGGGAGGCTGAGAACTGGGGCTTCCCAAAGGAGTCTGGAGTGGACACAGCAGCCAGCCTGGGCCTCCCCGTCTCCCTCTGAGACACCCGTACCTCCACCCCGCTGAGCCTGCTCCCTCAACCCCCCCACCCAGTCCAAGGACTGAACTCACCCCTGACCCCTAGTTGACCCAAGTTACAGAGAATAAGGCCACAGGCCAAGGCAGGCCCAAAGATTAGCTCCTCAGTCCCAGCCAGGGAGAGGCCCAGGGAGCTGGGAGTTTGAACCCCTGACTGCCTTAGTAATTCTGGGCAACCCATTTGTCCTCTCTGGGCCTCAGTCATCCCACCTGTAAAATGCAGATAATAAGAGAACCTATTTCCAAGGGTTTTGCGAGGATTACACAAGGTCAAATGTCAGGTGCAGGGCTTGGCTGAGGCTGGGGGTGGGAAAGTGGGCCTGGAAGGCCTTCAGGAGGAGATGATGTTTAAACTGATTCTGGAAGGGGCTGTCTGGGCAGGGGCACTTCCAGTGCCAGGGAACCAAATATCCAAAGTCCAGAGAGTTCGCTACGTATGCAGGAGCGTGCCAAGAGATGGCGCTGGAGAGGCAAGTAGGCCACCCAGGGGTGTCTCACCATCCCAGGGTGTCACTCTTCTCTGCCAGGACGTCCTCACTCCTCCCCCTGCAATCAGGTGTGTCCTCTCTCTC